GTGTAGGAATTGGGATATCTGCCCATTTTCAGGTAAAGACTCTCACAATGGAAGTGGTTGATTTCTTGACATTAGTGTTCCTTTGTTCTGTGTTTACACCCTGCTTGTTCTACATGTTTGTACATTTCTTTGTTCCATTGAGATGGAAATAAGCTAAAACTGTTGCTAAACCATTTGTTTTTTTCCACAAAGCTTTCACTATTTTTAATTGATTTTCATTGTGTGTTTTTGCAGCAAGCTTAGTAGTGGAGGAGCGAACAAGACAGATGAAAATGAAAGTGCACCGTTATAATCAGACATCAGGGTCTGGCTCTAGCCAAGAACATGAGCGTGAGCAATATACCAAGGTAAAGTCAGTAGTATTGGAATGATACTTTGGCTTGAAAATTAAAGGCATAAACCTGTTTATTTAAAATATTATGTAACCTTCAAGAACACTGTGTTTTAAAGCCTCCTAGAAATGTCTTCAAGTAATAGCTTTTTAACATCATTTTTGCCCCCATCTGATGTGCATTAGACCTAGTCTTTGATGTGACCTAAAATGAATCTGCAATAAACAGAACACTTCAAAACTAATTCAGGGAAGAAAAATCCTTCAACAGCTGTTAAGGAAAGCCATATCACTTCTAGTTTAGAAAGTCTGTGGCCTGCAAATCCCTTGAGCCTGGAAAAGTGGGCCACAGAAGCATCATGGTATGTTGGCCCTACTCTAGGCCCTTGCTGTTGTCTGATTTGTAGAGAGCTAGACAGAATTAGATCCAATCCCATGTAGCTATTCTCATATTTGTATAATTTTTTTGCATCCTAATAATGTCACAAAGTATTTCCTTTCTTGAAATACATTCTGATTACTTTGATCTCCTTTTCTGATAAAAGTGTAAAGGTTTACACTGGTAACGGAATATACTTGAAATTACATTAATGAAGTTATACAAAGGGAATTTTTTTCTTGTTCATGCTACAATGATATCTCATAACCTCTAAATTTAAAACTGTATAGGCTTCTAAGAAAACTGCTGAAAACATCTTGCACATTTGCACTGCTGCTTAACAAATCGAGCAGTGAGGAATGGGATACTCCTGGAGGCACAGGTTAAAATAATGGATAAGTGAGGTACTCACATGAAACAAAATCAGAAATTTCTTTGGGAATGGGTAAACAGGATATTAGGCATCTGTCTTGTAATATCTAAAAGATCTGAAAGATGGTTCAAGGTCTTGTTGCAGTAAAATGCGCAGACAACTTAAATAAAGATGTTTCTGTTTTGAGGCAACTTCACTGTAAACACAGAACTTAAGTGAAGAGTTCTCAAAAGAAAGGGAAACAAGAGAAACAAGACTTTAGGTTCTTAATTGCCAAAATGTGGGGTATCAGTTCTAATAAAAAACCTCAGCAGTGGGGATGGAAGAGATCATCTGTCAGAAGCAAGAATTTGTATAATTAGAACAGCTCATTTGATACTGGGTTTGCCATTACCTTCAAAAGAGGTCGACTCAGGGCAAGAGATTGAGGTGCTGTGTGTCTCTTCCCAACCAGTTAGCATGTTAGAAAAAAACAGTAAAAATGGGGTCAATAAAGTTTGCAGGAGAGAAACATAATATGCAATCTGAGGACTTTGGCCAGGGTGACCAGAGATCTTTGTGCAGAGTGAAAGGCCAATTTTCTGATTTGGATTAACTGTACTTAGAGATCAATTGAAATGTATGTTTTTTTCATTATGAAACATATTTTTTGATCCCAGCTCTCTTTAATATTTATCATAAGCATAACATTTTCTCTCCAATATGTTTTTCTTATTTGGATAGTGTAGATCCAATGCATAGGTAAATAGTTGTTGACAAACATCAACCTGCAATGTTACAAATTTCTCTTATCCTCATGTTGACAAACATCAACGTGCAATGTTACAAATTTCTCTTATCCTCTAGAACCTGGAGTTTTCTAGTATCTTCTTTTGTTTTTAAATACATGTGGAAATTAAATCAAAATTGACAGCATCATGAGTAGCAAATGAAAAGAATGCTGAAAATTACATTATTTAGAATTTTTTTCCAAAAGTTTGAGGACAACTTTGAGGAAGCAGATTCTCAAAATTGCAAAATTGTCAGTTGTTACAAAATAAATATTTGTAAGGACCTGGTGTTATTTTTCACGCTAGAACAGTAGTAAAGAAAATTAATTAGTTACCCTGGATATTAAATCTTTTAATTTTCATGTATTTTCTGTGTGATAATGCTACAGTCCTAGATAGGATGGTCCAACCTAGAATATATATTTTAAGTGCTGAGAAGAAATTATCTTAGCATATTCTAACACTCTGTACAATATTCAGTGATGTAGCTGTTTCCTTTATATCACTATGGTGACAGTCATTGCTTTAAAAATGCTACCAAAGCAAAGCTTATGCTATTTTTTTATTTACCCTGAGAAGATGACCCAGAAAATAACCCAGACAGGTGAAAATTTAGACATATCTGATGAAAATTTAGTAAGTCATATCAGGTGGAGCAGTAAAGCTGATGACTGAGACTTCTAAGAACTTAAGAGTACCTAATTTCTACTGGCAAAGTCTGTGAAAAGTCTTTGAAAGATGCAGAAACAAGATATACTTTAAATATTATTTTTTTTAAATTGATATAATATGCATTTTGGAGTAATGAAAAAGAAATATTAACTGACTATTAAAGAAATGACAGTTGCAAACAGAGTTTGTCCCCCTTTAACAGGGATCTTTCTTTCCCAAGTAGCAGTGTTTGCCCATTGCTTCTGAAGATAAATTTGTTTTAGAGAAATTATGCTGTGCTATATATTGAAGGAATATTCCCTTCTGTGTTTCAGAGCAATCAGCTCATATGGACTTGCTTCTTCTACTATTTTAGCATGTGCAAATATGCATGTTTTATTACATACAAATTCTCTAAACCTTTCAACATTTTTCCTTCAGTATGGACTGGATTGCATTTGCAATAGTTAATTATGTATGTGCAAAATAATTCCTTAAATTCAAAGAAGCTTTCTCTTGTATTGAAACAAGCCCTTTTTCCCAGAGGTATTATAACTTGGCTTTTGCAATTTCCAGTCTATTTCTGGTGCATTTCTTCCATTTTTGAAATTTTCGCCACTCACTTTCTCAATACTCTCATCTCAGTAAGCAAGGAGTAGTTTTTCCAGCATGCACCATGCAAGTTATTGTTTCAAATATCCATTAATGAGTTTTGAGTAGGTAACTGTCTGCTCTGCGACATTTGTATATGTCTTCATGGCTGTTCCACTCTAATTTTTTTGAGGCTTTCACACAGCTCACATCCTTATTTCCTTCCATTCCAATGGAAAGGCTCCATATTTTTTATGAAACAGTTGAACTCTAAAAAACTAAATTGGAAAAAATAAATTAAGAAAACCCAAAGCAACAAACCCCAGAGGATTTGCCAAAAAGGTTTAAGGAAGAGCTTTAGACACCTCTGCCTTCTTTCTTATATATTGGTTAACCTATATGGTTAGTACACATATATTTGTGCTTGAGAGAATCAAAACCCTTTGGGAGCATAATTCTGGATTTGCATGGAGATAAATTACAGGATATCTCATATAGCCTTGTAATTCAAAATACAGTAAGGTTTTTATTATTCCAGATGCCACACAAATCACAAACACCATGCTGCAGCTGCTCCAGCTTTCCTTTTTTTTTTTTTTTTTTGGAAGGTCTAAACGCGTTTTTGAATTTCCTTTTTTTTTTCCCAAAATTTATTCCTTATTGGATCACATACAGGTCTGTTTATTCAAAAAAGTTACTGATCAAAGCACTGTAGTACCTACTGAAAAAGGACATCACTTTATATTTAGGTGCACTACTGACTCAGTTTAAGACTGTATGTGATTGCAAAGCATTTGGCATAAAAGAGTAGTCATGGCATTAGTTCAGTGTCACTCTGGATTTAACATAATAGTGTCTACAAGGGAAGGGCTGGGTAGGAGACTTGGGATGGTAGGAGACTGATTATGTGAAGTTTTATGAGATGCTGGGCAAGGCATTTAGGATTATATGTAGAAAATGCTCTTGGACATTGATGTGGTGGATATATTCTTTTGATCCCCTTTAAACCATCTTCGAGAACAAAATATTTACTCTATAACATATTGGTATGACAGCCACTCCAGTACTGGTAGGATTTCACAAAATCTAGTGGTGTCCTTTCATTTGACTCATGAGCTTCACTGCAGTTTCCTCATGGTTTGACTTGCTCATTTTTACTGTTCCCCTTTAGGAACTTGAGTGGTGTACAGAGGAATTTAGTTGGTTGCAATTATGGGAAGAGTTCGAATCACTGGTGCTTAGTAGGCTCTGAACCATCATCTGAGCTGCTCCTAAGACATATGGTGGTAGGAGTCAGCTAAGAGTCCTAAACACACCAAGGTGCCAACTGCTGGGCTATGGACCCTGCCAGCATCAGAGGAACCCTGTGTGAGCAGTCATAAAACTCAGGGTACTTTGTCCATGATTCAGTGTTTTCTGACGAAATTCCTTGTTATAGTAAGGTGCCTCAAAAGATAGCTGTGATCTCAAGACTTGCATAAGCCCCTTAATGTATCTGGTCTAAACTTGACTTCTCTTTCCTCATGTCAATGTCCTCATTTTAATGCCTATTTAATTTTCTCATTTCATTTCTTCACGTTAAGAACATATTGAGGTATATATTTGTAGAGGTTAGTCACCTGGGACTTTTTTGTAGTAAAAGAAGGGCACATTTCTTCCATTTTCAAAGCTCTGTAATATTGCATTCTTCATGGTTTTGGAGATAAATCTAGAAGTATAAATACTGATTATTATGGAAGATAATGTACTTATAATGGACTATGAAATGACTTCTAAAATGTGCCTTATATTCAGTAAAACTGCTAACATTGTTAGCCATCCAGAAGCTGTAAAAGCATTCCTGAAGTACACTTGATTTATGTCTATGCTTTTCCCATTGATGTTAACACACCTGCAATTCATCATACCTCTTTTTTCTAGTTTTGCTGGTGTAAAAGAAGCAGCAGCTCCATGTGTGGTAAAGTGAATGGAAGAACTGCATTTCAGCTGTTTATAGACTTCTGTCTTCATAATGCAGATGCAGGGAGAGCAGATAGTTTGGGCTGTTAATGTTTAAAAGACCAGACCCACTCTTCAGTAACTGCTGTCAGAGTTGCTGCAAACTTCAGCAATTCTCCTAATGTGATGAATAGTGCACCTTGGAATAGAAATGTTACCTAAGATTTAACTCTGAAAGATACAGAGCTGAAGAAGCAGCAATTGCAGTTAAAATATACTTTATTCTGAAGCTTCAAAATTTTATAATATTTAAATATAACATGTCAGGGAAGTTTATTGCAAATACATGTGGAGTCATAAAAAGCAGTAGTTTTCTAGATGGGTGGAACTGTATCATACTACTTTTGAGCCCAGCTGGAAACTTGCATTACTTCATTGCAGATACCAGATAAGAGGATCTTAGCCCATGATAGTTTTATTCTGCATGATAAGTTTGGGCATATTGCAACAGTAAAATATTCTCCTTCTACTGATCTGTGCTTTGTGGTAGAGTACTGTTTACTTCTCTATATATTTGAAGGGCAAAAAGGTGAAGTTTAAAATTGGTTTAATTTTGTTTGTCTGTTAGCTGAGATGACTGATTAGCAGATTGTATCAGGGGTAGGTAGGAAATCAGTAGAAAAGGTTGTATGCCTCCTGTAGAGGTTGGTGAGTTCATTAGAAGCAGCAGCTATAGGAAGGAAGAGATAAATCCAGAAGCAATAGTAGTCAAATGTAGACACTGTAGCAGTCAGGATTAACTTTCAGCATCATCACTTTTTGTGCTAATCTCTATTTTGGTGAAGGGAAAGATTTTCAGTTTCTTGGGAATCACAGCCCTAGCATACAGTATAAAGGGGTAGGAAAAGTTCTACCATGCCATGAAAATCTCATTTAGGAAAGAATGAGCTATGTTTTCTGCACTAGCTATGTGATTGGAATACCAAGGCAAGTAGAAGACATGGATTCAGTTTTATCCCCCATCTCACCATAAATTTCTCTGTTTAAAAACACAGGAAAAATATCTTAAGCCAGACTGATATCTGCAAAGCAATTCCCTTTTTTACAGACTGCTGGTCTGTAGGGAGTGAGACAGAGTGAGGATATCTACATAACCCCCACTTACAAGGAATGACACCTGGGCTGAAGACCCTGCAGCAATAAATGGTTTCACATTGATACTGAACAGTCATTCAATGAGGCTGAACCCCTAAACAGCCACTGACCTCTAACTTCCCTCCCAGTATCCTAACCAGTAAGCTGAACAACTGTGCTTGATGTTTTCTCTCTCTCCCTCCTACCCCACCTTCCCCAGCCTCTGTACGTAGCCCATGAAAGGTGGAGAAAATGCATCACAAATGAAACAGAGGGTCTTCTTCATGACATACATAGTCCCCCATGTTACACTTTGTTATTTTGCTGTTCAATCCTAAAGTGAATGCTAAACAAGCAGCCAGATTCAGGTGTGGCTTTGGACAAAGGCCAGCAGCCTATGCCTCCCTCAACATTTAAAAAGAAGAAAGGCTTCCAGCAGGGCAGAGAAAGTCACTGCATCTGACCTTGATGGTTCCCTTGGTGAGAGAGTCAGCCTTCTCCACCAGCATGACATGGTTGCTTGTAGACCACATGAGTCTTCTTCTACCATTGCAGATTTGCTGTATGCACCCTCAAAACAGGAGGCACAAAGAGAATATGGACTTTTTAGTAAGGAAGAAAAGTAACTGGACATTATAATGGCAGAGGGCAGAAGTCAGATTGTCTTCATCAAATACAAATAAAACACTGAGGTACTTTTGAGACAGCCTGGTATACATAAAAAAAACCCAAGCATTTGAGAAAGATTGTTTGGTTATATTTTAAACAAAGTATTTTTAAAACCTCAGCTGCAGAGGCATAATTTCTAGGTATAATTTAAATATACAGGAGGAGTATAGTCCTTATTTCACTGAAATCAACATAAATTTTATTATTTAATGGGATGATGATTTGTTTTGCAGATTGCAAATCTCTTTAGCTCAATGGAAAGCCAGATCATTCCATGTGTTCAGATGTCTTTCATATTTTAGATGTCTCATTTTAGAGTAGCTTAAAAGACTCTTTATGAACTCTGTGGGAATTTTGCATTAAACATCAAGACTGGCTCATGACTGGGGCAATTTAGCTTAAACTGGAAACAATTAATCATTCAGTTTTCCAGCCTCAGAACATTTATGTTTAGCCTAAGTAAAAAGTTTTGATAGCTTTTATTCTTGCTTTAATTTTTTTTAGATTTCAGAAGAAAAACATGTCATGAAGTTGAAGTGGTAAAAATTAGTATGCTTTGTGTTTCCATTTGGAGAGTTTATTTTACAGTCTGAAAGCCAGAAAACAGCAATATTGTTTAACAGATTCTGCAAGGCATTCCCAAATGGTGATCTAAATAAACATATCAGCATAGTCTCACCTTAACCCCATTGGTCATTTATATTCAGAAAAGTTACATGAAGTCATTTGGAAAGAGAACCTCCCAATAAATTCTTGGTGTAGTTGAAAATAATTTTGGATACCGGAGTGCTTGAGTCCTCTCTGTTGCCTCCTTTATTATATTAGAGTTCTGCTGTATCTGTTTCCATGTCAATTCCAACTGCACAAGTTATTTGAGCTCAGAGTCATCAGACTTCAAGGTATTCTGAAATCATCTGCAGGATTTCATTTGCAGCTGAAAAATTTACCAGAGCTTTCTCTCCCACAGAATTTTTACTCAACCAGTGCCAGGGTACTGCAAAGAATTTTTCCTAAGGAGTGTGCTAATGCACACCTGAAAACCACACTGGGACAGTAAATTTGTATAACCTCCATTTCTCCTGCAGATTTCTGTACTTAGAGTTAGTGCTTAGAATCATCTTTATTCCTTCCCCTTCTCTACTCCTGTTAACCTCCTCATTTTATTTTCGATATTTTGCTGAGAGGTTTCCAAGTGTGCTGTGGAAAACTAAAACATAGTTGCTGAAAGGCACCAGAGCAAGAGAAGCTAAATCTAACTTGAGGACAGGAGACCTGATACATTCATCTGTACAAGCTCAAGCTTGTGTTTGCCAGGTTTTTTAAGTTAAGTCATGACATTTGCTGAGTGACTCAGCCTGCAACCCAGTGCCTAGTTGGAGTTTGGATATTCACAGACTGTTACAGATTGGTGTATGATTCATAAAGAAACTTTTATGACTTGCAATTTTACAGAGCACAGATCTGGAAAAAGAGCCCCCTAGAGTGTCATATCAAAAACTGCCTAGTCTTCCCACGTGTTAATAGTTTTCCCATAATATACCCTGGGAAGTATGCCACTGGTTTAGTCACTTCTCAGCCAAGAGTACCTTGCTATCTAATGATGGTGAGTTTTAGTTTTGGGAGCCTGACAATGATTTGATCCTCATATCTATGTGATTGAAGATTTAGGTAAGTGTGACATTGCTAGGATTGAAGCTTCCTTTTTTCTCTGTCTGACTGATGATGTGAGCACTAAGAGCATTATGCAGTAGGTGGTGTGGTGCCTCTGTTCATTTAACTAAGCAAAGCTTCCACTGTTAGCCAAAAGAAAATGACTTCTACCCTCATCCACATATTCCTGCTGGTTCTTACATGTGTGCAGGTGTAAAACTAGATGTGGGAACTGATATGCCTGAAAACAAATACTATTTTTTGCTGAGTTAGCTTTCTGCCTGACTAGTTCTCTAGTATTGCAATACAAAGAGATATTTTGAGATAGAAAATGTCCTTTTTTCTTTTCGGTTAGAACATAGGTACTGAAATCAATCCCCAATATCAGCTGCATGTAACATTATGTTTCATTCAGACTCATACGCAGTTTGCCTGTTCCATACTAACCCTGTATGGGTATTTCATAACACATATTTTTGATGTTTCAAAAACGCATAAAAGAGTGTGTAGTCAAACAGATGTTCTGCATGTGCTTGAGAAGATGTCCCTTCACTGCACAAATACCTCATTATTGTAGTGCACTGAAGAACCAGCAGCCTGTTTTTTTCCAATGCTGTGTTTTATTTCACATGCCTTCTTTAGTCCATAAATAATGTTCAATTTCTTCACTAGACATAAAGGCACTATTTAATGTAGGTGTTTCTCTGAAGTTCATACACTTTTGTTCGATCTAAAAGCATTTAGAGAGAATTGTCATACTTAAGGTCATTTGTTGTCTCAATAAATGAGTTATGTTTTGATGAGACTCCTCATCCTTTCTTTTCTTGATCTCTAGTATAATATACAAACAGATCAGTACAGAAGTTGTGATAACGTCTCTGCCAAATCATCAGATAGTGATGTCAGTGATGTGTCAGCCATTTCCCGAACCAGCAGTGCCTCACGCCTCAGCAGCACAAGTTTTATGTCAGAGCAATCTGAGCGCCCTCGGGGCAGGATCAGGTGAGTTCTCAGTGCAGCTTCAATTGTATCACACTCACTCATTTCGTGCCAAAATAGAACCAGAAGTTATTGAATCTAGATCACCACAATGTACGAATTTATGAAAAAATATTATGCATATATATGAGTGGTCTTCCATTGGTGGCCTAAGATGACAATATTTTTGCAGTTGTCCATCTAAAACAGAAAGTGAACTTCCCACGAGGAGATGACAGGTTAATGTATTTATGGCTAGTTTAGGCTATCATCTCATTATTGGCTAAGAATCCGTGTAATCTAAATGTCAATAAGGTATTACGGCATAAATTTTACAGATTTTTTTATTTCAATGACTTTCTTTCATAAAAGTTTTGGTTTTCTTTCTCTCAATCTATGTATTTTTTTCCTGCCTACCTGCTTTTATTTTGGTGGTTTTATGTGTATGCTAAGTTACTTGATTTGATACAATTATTTGTGTAGCAATTTTGATATATCTGGTTCAAAAGTAGTTTAATTAATTTGCATTATCAATAATCAAATATCTCTTCTATCCTCAATACTGATCTATTCTGGGTTTAGTGCTTTTTTAGATGCATGTGTTGGTTTCTGTCTTAATTTAACTTCATTACATTTAATGTGCTGCCCAGGGAGGTGGTGGATTCACCAGCCCTGGAAGTTTTCAAGATGAGACTGGATGTGGCACTTAGTGCCATGGGCTAGTAATGATGGTAGCATAGGAATTGATGATCCTGGAGGTCTCTTCCAACTGGAATTGATGATCCTTGAGGTCTCTTCCAACCCGGCTGATTAAAAAAAAAAAAAGAAAAAAAGAAAAATTTTCTTAGCATTTTCACGTGCATGTTATAACAAATGGCTTTGCATGGATAAGCTAGTCTGTATATGAAATTATTCCAGACATCTTTCTTGTTACTGTCCTGGGAAATCTGGTTGACTGCCATGATCTCTAGTGGAAGTGCAGACAGATATCAGGAGCTTTTGTTCTGTGAACAAAAGATTCTGGGACTTTTGACTTGAGTAAGAATCAGACTTGTGAATTTGACTTGCCATAGCATCTGGAGTTGGTGTGTATTTCATGACTGAGGTCAGATTACCAGTCCTTTATGGAGGTTTGCTTGTATCAGTTGTGGTCTTCACGCATTCACAATACAGCGAAACAGTACTTTGTGCCTGTGCATGATGCAGATGTTACTGTATATGTCTCAGGAACATTTCTCACATCCTAAATGAAGCAGAAGGAAATGTTTAAATGTTTTAGTGCAAATGATTGATAAGTAAGAACCCGGGATGAGTGCTGAGTTCAGTGCTGGGCTCCCCACTACAAGAGACATGGAGCTAGTGGAGCAAGTCCAGCAAAGGGCCACAGAGGTGATGAAGGGATTGGAGTGTCTGTCATAAAGGAGAGGCCAAGAACTGAGAGTGTTCACCCTGGAGAAGAGAAGGCTCAAGAGGGATCTTATCAATGTGCATGTCATGTG